GTGGCAAGTAGCCCCAGAACCACGCAACTCTGGAGATGCTTACCATGCTGCAGCTCAATGGCTTCTTGGCATGCCATAGTTCTGGGGTGCAAAAGGCCCCCGAGCTGCAGCACAGGGAAGCCCTTTGCAGCATGAAGGCCAGTCCCAACTGGACCCGTCAGTGCATCACAAAGCCAAAGTTGTATCCACAGCAACCTAATCCCAGTCCCTCACCACCCTGCATGAGCGACCACCCGATTGACCTTTGCCATCTTCTTGATCTCACAAATGAGGTATGCCCTGCCTGGCTCTGGGTAAGGAAGCTGCTGGCCATGTGAGGCCATCTTCCCCAAATCTCGTAAGGAAATCACCATGTGCAACCTGGAGAAAAAAGTGTTGTAGGGCCAGCAGTTGCCTCTCCAAGAATCAATCTTGGGACACCTTGTCAGCAGCAGGAGCAAGAATATGGTCAACTAGGGTAGCAAGACCCATGGAGTGGAGGGGGGCAAAAGGTCATAAACGGAGGAGAGACAGGCAAGTCAGGGGAACTGATGTGCCCCTTTGGTTGTAATTTGGGATACCAGGTGCCCAAATTTTGAACACATGACTGTGGAGTTGCTGCATGTGCTATAAATTCAGGAGCCAGTTACAATTCACTCTGTGCCACCATAACTTTGAACAGGTATTGAACGAATTGTTGTAAGTTGAGTACTATTTGTGCAGTACCAACATACAACTTGCTGTCCCTATTGGTCATTCCTTGCCTGTTGCCTGTTTAATTAAAGTAATCTGACTTATTTTCAAAGTAGCCTATCCAATTGTCATGCCCCCGTCAGAGTATGAATCCCAGGGGGAAGATGAACAATTGACAGAGAGTGGGAGAGTGGCTCCATTGGCTGTGGAGGAAACTGGGAAAGTAAAAAGTCAGGCTGGGAAGAGCAGGGAAGAGGTAGAACAAGGGAGAGGGGGTTCAGAGGAAAACCAAGGCCCTCTTCATCCTAGGGCATGCAGGGAAGAACAGGGAAGAGAGCAATGGGGATTGCGTGGCTAATGAGGAAGGGCCCTGATTTCCTTTACAAGGCACACCTGGGGATGGAGTTTAAAGGACAGGCAGATGGGAGGGGCGGATGTCGGGAACAAATGCTGAGTTCATCTAGTGTTGGCTGCTGTTATCTGAGTTCCTGGAATCCTCCCAACTGGTTTGATTTACTGCTGTGTTACTTCACTTTTGGAACTCCTTATCTTGTTCTGCCAGATTTATTACCTTATCTTGCCTTGTTGGATTTATAATTTGAAGTTTTCTGTTTATAACTATTGGACTGAAGTATCTGCAGCCAGAGGCTGTTGCAAGTTCATGGATGAGTTTTTCTCCAGACCGGAGAGTAACTGGGACGTTGGGGGCAAAGTTGGAGCTAATGAAGGAACTCATATTTATTCTCTGGCTCTGTTGCCTTTGTACCATACCACCAACTTTATATTCCTTGTGCCTTTTCTTTGACCTAAATTTGAGTAAGGGGAGGTAGGAGTGAATATACAGCTTTGAGACTTGTGCAGCTTAGAATGATTTAGGCCTGTCTCACTCCAGGGCAGGATAATGTTTCAAAGACAGTAGCAGAGAAAAATGTTGCCAAAGCAACTTTGTTTCTTAGCTGAGTGTTAGTAAAGAAAACTCCATTTGAATATGTTTGGCTCAGTGCAATATCCTAAGATCTTGCAGATATTTTACAGTCCTTTCCTATCTGTCATTTTTCTGATTATAATTCTGGACTCAAAACATTTCCAACTGATGATACCACATTAGTATTAGTACACTGAATAATTTGCTTCCCTTCATACAGATCTGCCAAACGGGTGTATAAAAGATGAATTCTACTTTACAAAAGCTGTGGTCACCATACATTTTGGTGCAATCTTTCTATGTTCTTCAACTAATATGGGGAATGAAAAAAGCACAAAAAAATGGAAATTGCTTATTGAAGTACTTTGAAAGGGTACAATTCTTGGTAAAAGTATTCAGAGTTGTCAAAATCCCATACCGCCATCTAGAGGATAAGGAGTATAAAATCATGTTCCAGTTTCCATATTCAATAAGATTAATATAATTCATTTAAAACACAAAATACTTATTTTCCAAACAGGCTCCACATTGTTTTACTGAACCGATTTGACATGACACGACTATAAATGTGTGTCTTCCATTTCAATGAAAATCATCACGAAATACTATTAGCAGTCATTTAAAAAGAAGGAATAAGAAATTTTCAATCTTCAATTAAACCTTAGGAGATACTGTATGTGTGGCATAAACATCACTGAAATGCTGAAAAACTTTCCTCTTGTATCTTTGCATTAGCATTTAGAAATAACACCCTTGCTTGTTTTGAATCCTTTAATTATATAAAATAAATATACACCTCATTATATAACATACAGTTAAAGTCATAATATGACAAAGTGAAAATCCAAAATATCCCATAAAATCAGTATTATGAAAACAATATTTTAATCAAAACACTTTACACTTTGGGAAAGTTATTGGAGAGAGAAACTGCCATTTCGCTCCTTTGGATCTTTTGAGGTATCCCAATTTGCACACTTAAAAAAAAAAAAAACTGGAACAGCAGGAGAATGCCACTCAGAAATTAGTAGTACCATAGTAGATACTTCAGTACTCCAGATACACTCCTGTTGGTTTAAGATCATAACCCACCCTTCTATTTTCAGGGTCCCCCAACAAGGCATTAGGAGGGAGGCAATCTACTTGTGGGCATTTCTTTTGGTGCCCACCAGATGCCCTACCTCCCAGATTGTTTCTGTTAAAGAAAACTACAGTAGTTTTACCATGGAAAGCTAGCATGCTGGAAAGCAAAGGGCCAGCTCCCCTCATTCTGTGCTACATACAACTTGTTCTTCTCCAAGTTAAAAATCCATCAGGGTGAGAAAAAAGGCATTGACTTCTCTATCCTTCCACTAGGTGGATGTTCTCCTACCCTGGATAAGACAGAAAGCTCTGTTCTACATGTCTAGCAAAGATGCTGAGTAAACTAGCATTGCTGGAACAAATATTCTCTTTCCATTAACTGGGTTTCCATGTAGGTTGTTTAGGAAAATCACTTCCAATGTGAGAAAGGGAGCAGATAGTTTCTTGATGAAATGAATATTATTTTTCCCGCACCTCCAGCTCTCTCAGGTGGACTATTCTATACCATTCTTCAGCAGTCAATTTAACTTTTGCATTTCAGAGAGAAGAAAAGGGGCACATTACCATATTCCAGCTATTCTTTTCACAGTCCACTTACTGAACTTGTGCTTTCTAATCACCCATAGTAAGGCTAGCTGAAATATTTAAGACTTTTTTTGAGATCAAAAAGCATATCAGTGAATCACATACCAATTATACATCTATTGGAAATGCATAATGCCTCCTGATACCAGTTAACTAATCATGTACTTTGTATTAACAGAGGCCAAGAATGCTGTTTTGCGTTAAACACTCCATATTTAAATTAATTCAGCCACATGTAAAATGATCTGGTATCATTAAAAAAATTAGTTTGAACATCGCTTGAATGTTAGAAGAATCTGTCATCTGTGAAACCGAATTAAATTCTCATGCACACCTGTTCTAAGGTAGTTAATATGAAACAAATTCTAGAGGCTCAAAATAGTTTTTTTTAAATAACATGTTTAAATATTTACTAACACTTTAATATGTATAAAATGAAAATAAGAATAATATGTAAGAGGTGAATACTGGGTTTCACTCTACTAAGGACTAAATTGTTTAGCCACTGAGACAGTTGTAACTTAAACCTTTATTATATATTTTCTTTCTATTCCATTCAAAATAAACAATGTTGGAAGGCCCTGCCTCAGAAAATTATACTATTGAAATACTTCGAACATTTCCCAAATTTGGCTGGAATTATGGTAGGTGCAATCCAACAAATCTGGACAGCTAAAGGAAGTCTGCATCAGAAAATCATGTTGGGATATCTTGTACGCATGACCAAAACACACACAGAACAAAGGGGAAGAACTGGCAATGATGCAATCCTCCCTGGTGAGTGCTTAATTTCCAGGAATGAATAATTGAGCCAAAGGAAAAAAACAAAACCCAACAACCATCTTGATGGAAAGTGACCTGCTCAGTCAGATTTCAAAACATTGCTCTTGAGAAGAAATATGCGTGCAAAAACAGCTCTGCCTGAAAAAATGTACATTGAAAAAGTTTAGCCATTCCATATTTCAATTATCACTCTCTGCAAGCTTTCAGGATAAGCATGCACCCTCATCTTATACACCACACACTCCTGCGACCCTGTTTTTTTTTAAGTTGAATATAAACAAACCTCTCCATGAACAGGAAGTCTAAAAAGGATGGTCCCTCAAGACGGGAAAGCATGTGAATATCTTAAACTGAATCTGCAGGCGCTGATTGCTCAATGCACAAAGAAATTCGCATACTGTATTCATTACAAAATGCTGGGGACGGGGAGGAATGTCTTTATCTTAGCTCCTAATAAAATTAAGCCTCTATTTGAGTGTTTCTCAAGCTTAGCAACTTTAAGATGTGTGGAATTTGCAGAATTCTGGGAGTTGGAGTCCACACTTCTTAAAGTTGTCAAGGTACTGAATGTTTGCACAGATCTATTAACTGAACCCACCAAAGCAGAGACTGCAACATCCCCCACCTACCTATCCTTTTGGGCTGAGCAACCTTAGAATAGTCGCATTAAACTGCACTATTCCTTTATTTCAGCAGATATACATGTGCAAGAGCTTTCCAAAACAGTACAGATGGTCCTCAACTTACAACAGTTCACTTGTGATCATTTGAAGCTACAACAGTAGCTGCCGCATCCCCATGGCCATGAGATTTACATTTGGATGCTTGACAACTGACTCACATTTATGACAGCTGTAGTGTCCCAGGGTCATGTGATGCCCTTTTGTGACTTTCTGTCAAGCAAAGTCAGTGTGGAAACCAGAATCACTTAACAAAAGTTAACAACTGCAGTGATTCACTTAACAAATTGGCAAGAAAAGTCATAAAATGGGGCAAAACTCACTTAACAAATTTCCCACATAACAACATAAATGTTGGGGTCAATTGTGACTGTAAATTGAGGACTACCTGTATGGCTTCCACAACTTGGCTTTAACGCTATAATAAGTAAACTGACACTTTACAGTGAAAAAAATAAAGTCAAGTTTTGCCAGAAGCATCAATACCAGATCCACCTAGCTCATTGGGCAGAAAGAATGGCTCACTATGATATCAGAATGAATTGATACATTATCTGGAAAGTCAGCCTTCTTATGACATTGCATGGTGGCCAGGAACCACGCCTCTTAGGAAACCGTTACAACCTTCAATTCTAACTCAGGGGACTTCTTAATTTTCTTTTCCTTCATTATTTGGTGAGACAGTGTGCTTAAAAACCACTCCAAATCTTGATGGTCTTCTGGCCATCTCAAATACTGCCCCCTTTGTAAAAAGGCCCTGATTGGTTGATATTTCATAAGCTGATATTGAGAAAGAGATCCGGCTACCACCATTATAAGAATATCCTCCAGATCAGAGAAGTACCTGCTCTGGGCAAAATTAAAGGCTTCCACACACCAGCCATCCTTGAGAAACTGTCTTGTGACCACGCAAATTGTTTTCCTGCAGTTCCAGACAGCATCATGAATATTACTGATATGATCCTCCCCAGGCAGGAAGTCTCTGTCTTCAAAGCAGAGTGCAAACCTGTTCTTCTTAGAAAACTGAGAATCTAGATGCGTTATCAAGGAACTTTGGACCCACTCAAAGTCTTTACTGCTATAGCAAAGGTAAGCATCATACTTGTATCCTTGTTGATCCACTTCTGGTGGGAGCTCCTTCATGAGGAATTGTGTCAGTGTTTTATACCAGCGGAAACAAACTCCTCTAAAACGAGTAAAAACAACTACTGCTACTAGAAACACAGTTATGCTAACACAGGTCAAAATGAAGAGTGACAGCTGTAGAGGCTCCATGAGCTTGTGTTCATTGCAGTTCTCTGTATCTAAGACATGGAGAGGAACGTCAGCGAACTCAGGTGGTCCAGAACAAAATATGTCGTTGCGTGAGCCATCTAAAGTAACATTGGTTTGGTTTAGCCACATAATAAAGTTGCTTAATAGGCAATTACAGTAAAATGTGTTATGGGTGATATCCAGCTGGTCTAATGTTGCAAAGAGCTGAGGATCAGGGTAAAATAGCTGATTTGATGACAAATTAAGAAATTTCAGGTTTGTAGGAAAGGCATCTTGAGAAATGGAAGTCAATAGGTTGTTAGACAAGTCTAGTGTCTTGAGTGACATTAGCTCACTAAATATACCCTCTGGGATGAAAGTAAGGTAGTTGTTATTGAGATAGAGAATTTCCAGGTGGGAAAGTGCTTTGAACACATCCAAGCATAAACCTCTCTCCCATATAAGCTTTAGCATGTTGTCTCCAAGGTCCAAGTAAATCAACTGATTGTCTTTTGCTATGTCTTTATATTTGAAGCAATAGGATAAACGATTATTTCTTAAAGCAAGATATTTCGGGCCTGGAAATTGGAGAAGTTCATAAAGATCACCCAGATTTCCCAATCTGTTTCCTTTCAAGTCAAGAATTGTGGCATTTATAAATTGTATTTTCCAATAAGATGTAGTCTGTATCCGGTTGTCACCTAACATAACATTGATGAGATTTGGGAGAGAATCTATTGTTTTTAAAGCGTTATCCCTGAGATCCACATGTTGAAGCTTTGGTAAGGATTTGAATGGATCTCTATCAATCACTCCAATGTGATTACGTTTTAGATCTATCTGAATCACATTAGGAAGACCTTCAAAAGTGTCCTTAAAGAGCTCACCAAGCAGATTGTTTGATAGGTATAGATGCTGCAGATTCTGAAGACCAAGAAACGCTCCGTTCCAAATTTTATTTATTTTATTATTATTTAGATTCAGCAGCTGCAAATCATGGAAATATTGAAATATTCGCGGTTGAAGAGACAAAATCCAGCCGTTTGATATATCAAGAAGGATGAGGCCACTGTCATTAAGACCTGCAAATGTATTATTATCAGGATCGGGAAAATTATTAAATCCAAATGATGCACCCAAACCATGAGAGGAAATATTCAAACCCAACAATGGGGACCCTCTAATAGCTGCACAGAATCTCTGTGTTAGAGTTGTACCCCAGCCATTACCCCCAACATCCAGTGTTTCTATGTTAACATTTTTTAAAGGATTCCCACAAGTTGCCCAATTCACGTATCCTTTATACAGATTAGTACTACGAAGATTAAAGATTTTGAACCTTGCTCCTTGGAAACTATTAAGATCCCCTTCACAGATAGATGCAATAGGGTTTAATTTCAAGTCTAGAATGTCCAAGGATTTCATGTTATAAAATACACTGTGAGGGCGAACATGAGTGATTTTATTATATCTGAGGTCCAGATATTCCAATGAAATCAAATCTCTGAGGTAATCCTCTTCCAGAATGGATCTATCAAGATTATTTTGATACAGTTGAAGAATACGTACTCTAGACAAGCCCACAAAAGCATCAGGGTCTAACACTATCACTTTGTTGCCACCCAAATCCAATTGTTGTAAGTTTGGCAAGTTCCTAAAAGCATCTTTTCCTATGGTTAAGGGAAAGCGTTTTTGTGTCCCAAGGAATAAAATCTTCAGTTTTTCCCTCAGAGGGAAAGAGGTTGCATTAACTTCTTGGATGAAATTGAAGTTTAGGAATAGAATAACAACATCTTCAGGCACAGGTGGCACCCACGTGAGATTGCAGAAATTGTAGAAAGCTATCGTGTTTTCCACTGAGCAGCTACGACTTGCGAGTATTTCTTGGCACACAAGCACTGTTCCAACAACAAATATCATGTAGTAACAAAACATCGTGCTCTCAATCTGTGCCTAGGGGGAAAAGATGGGGAAAAGAAAAGCATTATCTTTTGCATTGGACTACAGAATCTGAATTAAACATAACAACATAGGTTATATATAGAGATCAAAGCTGATCTAATATTTTTTTAAAATGTTATTACGAATTCATAAAAAAGGATGCCATGTTAGAAGCGATCCTGCTTGTTTTCCCTTGCATCTTGTTTACATCCCTTGGTTATACAAAGTATGCTACTTTGGAAAAAGGGAAAATTCTGCATTTTCATTACATCCTAAGAAGAACATTATTCAAAATGAAACTTATCAAATGGTGTTTTCCTATTTTCCACAGAAATAAATTATATTGTAGCTACCAGTCACACTTTTCATGTCATTTTTGAGAGGAAGGCAGAGAAAAAAGATCACAAACCCATGGATGTGCCACTTTTTTGAGCTCAGAGTTTCATTTGTCTCTTGGGTGTTATGCTAGGGCCTCATTTCACAAACAAAAAGGAGAACAAAACTACATCTGATTTACTTTCAATATAATGTAATTTGAATTAGTTGCAGTAGTTATTCTCCCCACAAGTTTGATAATTTTTCTATTACTGATGGACACAAAATTGCACAAAATTACTGACTTTTCAAAGAGCCCGGAGATCTATTTTCAGGACTTCCAGGAATAACACTTAACTCTGGAAACAAAGGTTGTGGACCTGTATTTCATAGTACATTTGTTATTGTTATGTCCCAACTTTCTGAACAAGTAACGCCTAGGAGAAAATGTAACTCCGGGATGTCCTAACTATAAACCACTCTGATTAATTTTCTAAATTCGCAAAAAAGCCACTCATCCAAGATTTATTAAATTGCATTTGGTTTTGGACAATTCACAAATACTTGTACCTATCTAAGCCTTATTTAATTATTTGGTGGATAAACAAGATAAATGGTTTTCCATGCCGACACCACAGCAGATCACAAAGCTAAACAAGTTTAATAATTTAATAGAACACCACTAAGAAATCTGAGGGCTGAAGAGTAATTTTGGAAGTTATAAAAACATCCTAAAAAAAGTCAACAATAGCCCACTTCGATGCTATTGCCAAGAACATATTCATGGTGCCACTAGGAGTTGGATTTTACTTGAGGGAAATGTGGTGTTTTGGTTTTTTTAACTTTTGAGGGCATCTGCTTTTTTGTTGTTTTGTATTTGAATAGCAGAATAACAGAGTAGAAAGGGATGAGGTGTCCTAGATGCTGTTCAAACAGTAAACCCTGTACTGTTTCTGACAAATGATTGTTGATTAAAAACCTCCAGTGTTGAAGCAACCACAACTTCTGGCGGCAAGTCGTTCCACTGATTAATTTGGTTCTTCCCTATCAAAACATAATTCTAAGACTCCAGGGAGATTTCTAAATTCCCAAAGCTTTCGCTGCTACCATCAACCTTTTCCTGATTTGGAAATAGTTTTCTTTTCTCCTCTGTTTCTTTCTCTATAAAGATGTCATTTGTTGAAATGTGGAGAAGGCATAACCAGAATCACTTTTTAGATACAACATTTAACAGTGAATCAAATGAATTGTTATATAATTTGAAAAGAGAATTATTAATGTGAACACATAAAATTATAACTTATGATAACTTCAGCATCTTCCCCCTGGAATTAACTAGTGACAGTTCTGATAACCCAGTCATCACAGAGCCTTTATCATATGTAATAATCATATATAATAATCATATATTATTATAGCGAACATCCTATCCAAATCTCTCTCCTTCAGCGCAGCCACACGTTTGCATATACTACGCTTCTTAACTGACTGGCATTTTCTGAGCGCCCTCTTATCCATCTTTATTTCCTTGTGCAAGTTAGACAAAGACTTACACAATTCATGATAACAACGATCTAGTTGAAGCCTCATCTGCAAGATTTACCTCTGTAAGAAAGAGACTTCAGCTCACAATTTCTTAGCAGAGAAGATGAGGGGATAGAGAACTACTGTCTTGAATGCTAGTATGTGAGGTGGAGGACTGTTTCTCATGACCTATATTCCCCTTCTTTTTTTCTTAACAAAGCTTTGCCACTAGAAATACAATTCAAGATTCCTGATTCCCACATGGAAGATACATGTGGTTTGAATGCCTTCCTAAAATGCCTTAGATAGATTACAGCACTGAAAATATGAGTTGAGTCTCCCCACCTCCAAAAAACCCTTCTTATGAAAAGAGGAACATTTATGTTCTGCTCAGCATGCATAACTGACAACTTTGCAGAAGTCCACAACAGATATCCAGCAGTATTGGAATGCTGCTAGTTTAATGTCCCACAGAAGAACAATCTGCAAATGGAGATGAGAGGCACACCATACATAGCCAGTTATTTCTGTTTGTTCAAAGTCGTCCACCTTTGCTTAAGCAACAAGATAATTAGTACAATGTGCCCTCTTGCTCATAGTGTTGTGTTGTAGTTTGAATCAAAATGACAGAAGAATGACATAGATTTACATTTTATGCAGATCAATGAACTTAAGAATGAAACACAGCAGATTTGAATCAAGGAGTGAGGTCATGCTATATCACTTTCTTCCACAAAGAGTTGTTTTTCCAGTTTCAAGTTTTTTCCATCATAGTGATGGAGAAATTTGCTTCACTAATATACATCAATTCATAATAAAGCTAATCTCACCACACTTTTTTATTGAAATCCCCCCCTTTCCCTTTTAGATTTCAAATAGGAATCACCCTTTTAACACATTTATCTGAGAACTTGCAAAGGGGGAAAACATTCAAGGAGAACATGGAGTTGAAAATTGATCAGCAGGGAAAGGCTTCAGCCCTTTCACTCTCTACCCTTCACTCTCTACCCACTATGTTGATTAAAAATCATAACCCGATAAGCTGATTTTCTAATAAAATAAAAGTGTCATTTGTATGTGGTATGCCTCAGGCTTACATTATAATAATTTTTCTGGTAAGAAAGTGGTAATGAGAATTATCATTAAAGCTGCTCAAATTTGACAATAAAAAAAGGTGGAACACCTTTTCTCTCAAATCCAAACATGAGTAAGAAAGTAATTTATGTCTAAAAGCTTATAATTTTAAAAAAAGATGAGGGTAAAAGAAGAAAGGCTTTACATCCCATGTAGAAAGATCCATGGAATATATATTTTTTCTCATGATTGCATGCCAGGTCACTAATCTATAATAATCAGAACTGAAATTTATGAAATTTGTTAATATTTGTTGCGATGAAGATGGTAAGTCACTTCTTTATATATTTTTTCTTTTTTTTCTGTTTTATTATTTATTATCTATCTATCTATCATCTATGATGAGTGGTGGTGGTGCAGTAATTAGAATGCAGTATTGCAGGCTATTTCTGCTGACTGGCAGCTGCCGGCAGTTCAGCCGTTTGAGTCTCACCAGCTCCAGGTTGACTCAGCCTTCCATCCTTCCCAGGTCAGTAAAATGACTCAGATTGTTAGGGGCCATATGCTGAACATACACTGTAAACCGCTTAGAGAGGGCTGTAAAGCACTTTGAAGTGGTATATAAGTCTAAGTGCTATTGCAATCTATCATCTCTATTTATTCTATCTATCCATCTGTCCATCTATCTATGTCTATTTGTCTGTCTGTCTGTCTATCCATCTATCATCTATCTATCTATCTCTATCATCTATATACCATGAGCCACGGTGGTGTAGTGGTTAGAGTCGGGGTAGGATGCTATCGCTTCGGCCCAGTTCTATAGAATTGGTAGCTCTGAAGAGCAGCAGACACTGAACCAGTTCGCTGCAATGACCTTTGGTCATCTTTTGGTTTGGCCCACCTGCCCGCCCAGGCTCTTGGCTGTCCTTTATTTCCTGCTTTTTCAACCTCAGCTGCTTTGCGTGGCACAGCTGAGGTTGAAAAAGCAGGAAAGAAGAGGCTTTTCAAACATTGTGCACCAGTGTCCAGGCAGCACAGCTGATGGGTTTTTTTGCAAATGCTGTACATGCGCATGCAAAACCCACTCTCACTGAACGGTTGAATCCCACCCCTCGTTAGAGTGCAGTACTGCAGGCTACTTCTGCCACAGCCAGCTTGCAATTTGGCAGTCTGCAACCTCACCAAGCTCAAGGTTGACTCAGCCTTCCATCCTTCTGAGGTGGGTAAATGAGGATCCAAATTGTTGGGGGCAATATGCTGACTCTGTAAACTGCTTAGAGAAGGCTGTAAAGCACTATGAAGCGGTATATAATTCTAAGCGCTATTGCTATTGTTATCTATATGCTATCTTTATTATTTTTATGTATAACTTATGGCAGTGAACATATCCAACATATCTTCCTCTCCTATTTTCCCCACCAGAACAGCTTTTTGAGGTGAGTTGGGCTAAGCAGACTCCCCCTTTCTAGCCTGGTGCCTCAACGAAATTGGTTATTCTTTCATCATTTAAAAATTTGTGTTAAGTTTTACCACTGTAATAATAATCTTTGATAAAATTGTTATAATTGTTATAAAAAGAAAATGGAAATATATTTTTGAGAAAGAATATTCAACGTAGGTCAACTATGATAAAAATCATCCTTTTAACATCAAGTAATGCTAGCAAACTCTCTCCAGCTGTCTTAAAGCAGTGGGAGTCAATATCAAGCAAATACTGCCCAGGGAGTTAATATAAAAGTTGCAATATGGAAAAGCAAAGTCAGTCAACAGTTTTTTTTAATCCCTTTCTAAATTGGCAGATGATTCATAAACTGCTTCTGAGTTGCTTCTTGTTCACAGTTGCTTTGATAATCTCAGAGAGGAAGAGGCAGCCATTCAGGAGGACCAACAGCTGGGAGTCAAAGGATTGCTTGAGATACTATCAAGCAGTCAAAAATGTTACCCACACAACAGGGGGAAAATGGCAAATAAAAGAAGATGGACTTGCAGTGGGATTATTGTTATAATGCACCAGAAAAAGGTTGAGACCTTTGACCTAACAGTGCTTACAAGCATAGAATTTCTGCAGGGTTTTTCTTTGAAGCGGTTACCAGTGATGC